AAATTAAAACATTTTTTTATATAAACATTAAAACACCAAGAAAAAATTGTATCATTTCCCAAACAAACTCTTGAGCTAACACTAGATTTACGGATGTTGGTTATATACTCATTTTTACTGAATTGAGGCAATATTTTGCAATAGTATTAAAAATATTTATAATATTTGAAAACGATAATGTAATTAAAGTCATACTTCAAATATGAAATTATAGGTTTGCTATTGTAATTAGCATTTAGGTCTTAGACCGTCATTAAAGAATTGAAGTAATTGCTGATTAATAAATTCTATAATATTGGTTCATACAGTGGGTTATGTAAAAGAACGCCTAAAGAAATATGGTTTTCACAATTTTACTCATCATGTAATTGTGTTTGTAGAACTTCATGTAATTGAAATTAACATATATTCATTGACTGCTTGTTTTTTTTTTTGACTATTTTCCCTGGCGATACAGTTTCATTCTTTGAGCAGCTGTAGTATCTGTCTTGCTCATAACAATATTTTCCATATTAGTAATAACGTCAAAGTTATATATTTATTTACTAGCCGGCCCGACAGACTTCGTCCTGTCAAAAAAAATGTAATGTGGCGGTGTTTTGTGCCTACCTTTTTTGTATTCTTTGCAAAAAATTATCCTGAACAGAACCCTCACTCTGGTAATACTTCGGTGTGAATTAAAAATAATTAAATAAAACACTATAAGCATTTAAAAGTAAATAATTTTAATAATGTAAATCATAATTCAAAAATCAGTTCAATTTTCATTGTAGTGCTTTGTGATAAACGATGTTTTTTGTTTGATTACCTGGCGCATAGACAAACAAATCTGATGGTTTTTCAATACGGGAACAAACAACATGCAATTTTCCATGTGAGAAACATGGGTTTTCTAAATTAATACCACAAACACTTAATGATACCATAAACGCACTGGAAACGCATTGGGATGCATGGTGCGAGAACATCTTCTGCTTTATGCTATCCTTTGAATATAGTTGGTCGATATTTCGCAACATTATAATTGCGATCCAACCTTTAATTGAAGATTGTGAGGTGACAATCCTAGAAAATCCAGCGAGTTTAAAAATTCCGGGATCCGGGGGATCGTCTTGGTTAGTTGCCGAATCAACTGATTCGCCTGTAATTTGTTCTTGAATTTTGAAATTTAATTAATTTACATCAATGTTTAATAGAAAGATATTTCTATGTTTATATAAATATATTCAAAATTAGAATCTCAAAAACTACACAAAATGTCATGACATAGATCATTGTTTTTTTTACAAATTGCGTTGCCTACTCGATTAAAGAAGAAAAGGGCTGTTTTTAGGGTTTTCCCGGCGATTATTCGTTTTTTTCTTACCGTAACAATCATCCTTGGACTTCAACGAACATTTTAAAAAAAGAATTGGCCAAATTGGTCCAGGCGTTGTTGAGTTATGCGCTTACCAACACATTTTGCGATCCATTTTTATATATAAGATTTATTCATAAGCAAGCCGTAATCAATAATAATAGATATTATTTCAGGCTCTTGTCAATATAGTAATCTCGAATAATACAAATTACTTCAATAAACTTACGTTCCTTACACGGTACAGATTTTTCATTTGTTTTGCAAGAAGATGGAAGTTTTTGGAAAAAATAGTTCTAAGCCAAATTTTAAGCCAAAATTTATATAAAAAAATATTATCAAAAAAATCATGTAGAATATTTTTTACCATTTAGTCAAGTACATCAACGCCATACTTGGTGGTATTATGATAAATTAATGTTTATATCTAAATCTTGTGATCAAAAGTTGAATAAACTATTGTAATAATGTAAAAAATCATGTCTAACGTAAGATGTTCCCAAATCATACAATTTTGTTAAGGATCTTCTGTGGATAAGTGGTTAGAGCTATGGTAATTAAATAAGTAGTTTCAGGTTTGATATCTCTCTTAGACTGTCTGATATCAAGAAGTAGTGACATTTTTTTCACTCAGCAATATCTTTCGAAGTGAAAATAAACTTCACATGGCTGCATCAATAAAAATTATCAGCATCACATAAATTGTAATAAAAAAAAATCATCACATAGAAATAGTGCAACCGTTTGGGTTGCCATCTATAAAACTGACGTTGTTTGTTAAGTCAATTCATCACAACAGCTTATGAAATCCTTAATAATAAACCAAAAAAAATCATATTGTACATTACTAGATAATAAATCACTCCCACTTCAATTATTATCTGAATCCAGTTGGATTCGTATACCCAAAATACATTATTCGCGAAATCCCACGAATACTGACTTAACCATAATTATATTTTCACTTTTAGTATGATTTCTCATAATTTTCAATTTCATTCCACCTTAATTTCATTTGTTATAATTTAGCAGAAGACTTGAAAATATTATTTCATCTCACATAAGCTAAATTTAGAACGTGGATACTAAAAGCGCCATTAAAACAATATAAAGTATGATTGCCATTTTATTGTTTTATTATTTTATTATACAACGAGTAACAAAGTGGACCATTTTCATAAATCATCCAATTTTTTTTTAAACAGCAGAAGCATTTTTATTAAATCATTGGAATTAATGAGAGTGAGTAAAATAATGAAAGCTGACTGTTGACTTTGTGTATTGGATAAAATTTCTAAAAAATTGAGAAATTGAGAAAAGTTCACTATTTCTATGAATTACTACTTTTTTAAGTAGCAACAATATTTTTATTATTAATGAGAGTGAGTAAAACATGAAGGTTGACTGTTGACTTTGTGTATTGGAGAAGATTGAAATTGAATTTCTAATAACTTGAGAAAATTTTTATGATGTGACTGACGTAACAATGAATTGCTTGTCTGAGTGTGATCTATATAAATGAGATTTTACTGTTACTTATTTTTATTCTAATCACTTATAACAGTAATTCTTTGTTTTGCATACATCAGAATAGGAATACGAAACTGAAATTCAATTGTTTTGCTTTTTTCTGTAATTATGAATTGTTTTTAATTTGTTAATTATTCCCTTGTTTTAGCATACATGGAATTTTATTATTTTATATTAATAAATTATATCGTATGAATTAGTAGTGTTTGTTTTTTATTTATAGAGAACACTCATCTATATGGGCTAGTCCATTTAAAATGCAATCACTTGTTTTTGAAGAAAATATATAAAAAATGACATTAATATTCATTTTCATTTCGATTATAATTTATTTTGTTAAAACATGATATGTTGCAGCAATTTGAAATAAATATATTTTTTTCAAATGTTAGCACTTCAAATGGCGCTTCCATTAAAGGCTCTATATTGTTTTTACAATATTATTTACTATTTTATTATTAATATAAGAACAATATTCTTCTTTCAATATGATATATAAGAAATTATATGCCAACAACAAATATAAAAAATATTTTTATGGCAAACATTCTGATCAATTTTACTTGAGTAGAGGAGACTGGGTACTGTTGTGTCACTTTTTTGATTAGCCATAATTTTGTTAATTTACTAGCATTTTGAAGAAAAATAAATTAAATGGTAATTTGAACATTTGTCTACGTGGAAATACTGAAATATTATCTTTAAATACGTTGGATTAGTTATAAAATCAAATTTTTAACCCACAAGTGTTTTCTTATATTGAATTTATTTTTTTCCTTTCTTTTTCGGATTTTAACTGAGTTAAGTTAGATTTTTAACTGTTTAATTTTTACCGAAAAAGGACAAGAAATACATGTCACAACGGTACCTCAAAATTTGTCACAAGCACACTTTTGAGAACAAATCGTTATTGTGTCTGACCTAAATTATCTAAGAAAAAATTAATTGCTGGTCAACAAAGTGAACTATCTGTACACAATTAACAGTTATTATTAAAATAATTTGAACATAAAAATTTACTTTTGACTCTTTGAAAGCAATGCGGTCTGCAGATCATGTTAATGTAAGGCACAGACCGAAAGCAATAATGGAAACTTGTTTGAACAAACATACTTCATCTTTTTCCTTTTGGATCTCAAACTTAGTATAGTTTAGCTGTGATGGCGACTGTCACTACCGTACTCTGGGACAACCGTACCCAGTCTCCCCTACTCTAGCTTTTATGCATTTTGTTTTGACATCAAAAGTACACATAGATAAAGGAGCATTTGTATTAATAGGTTAAGTTATGATTTCGTACTAAATGAGTTCAACTTACGATTTCATACTCATATGGATCTCGAAATTATTTGCAAATTTAAACTAAATTTAGAACAAATATTTTATTTATTTATTTAAACAAAAATTATCATTTTCTCTCTTCTAAATTTGCAATTGCTCTTAATAGCATTTGTAAACGTCAAAATAGAGTTTGGATGGCTAAAACCTATCCATATTCAAAATGTAGTACATTTCAGAAGTCCAGTAATTTAAAGAAATAACATCTTAACGGTACATTTGCGTCTTGACTTTTACGGTTCAGTCATCCGCGTTGTATTTACAATGTTTAGTATCTGTATTGAAAATAACAATAAGCGTAGAGTGTAGCATGCCATAACTATAATTTGTATATATGTCATTCAAGCTTGCTGACTGTAATTTTGTATCAATAACGGTTTTTGATTGTCACATATAAACCATTTTTTGCATAATTTACTCAAATTATTGTGCCTAATTTGACACTATTCGAGACAGTAGGGCATAACATATTTTTTCACAAGAAGAGTAATTAGGCTTAGCATGTATCTTTCCACGTCGTTTATATGTTACAAAAAGTATAACAGATTTCATTGTTCTGTTATGCAACAGTTATTAATTTCTTTAATTTTTTTTATTATTTCTATGCTGTTTACATAATGCAAAGTGTTATAGTAACCTGTGTCATTAGATAAAAGTGGTATACACATACCCACATTATTAATATCTCTTTAAACTATCACTGCAAACCTGCAAATGCGGGTTCATACATCAAACACCGTTTTGTAAAATTAATTATTCCATATTTTTGTTACAGTTGAGAGCGGTCGCAACATCAGGCACCTTCCATGCATATCAAGGAGGTCAGGTCAAGAAGGAATCTGCATGTTTGCTATAGATTGTCTGAAAGCTAATGGAACGCATCTTGGAACATGTATAGACCGATTTTATTTCGGTTCCTGCTGTCAACTCGAAGATAAGCTTCTATCCGGTGAAACGGAAATTCTCGACAACAGTATAGATCATAATGATACGCCTACGCAAAAGACAGACGGCGCCACATTGCCGCCAAGTTTGTCAAAAGTCACGTTTCCTTCGAAAACGAAACCTTCCTCTCCCGAGGTTTACATGTCACCGAGCGTCAATCAGTTATACACGACGTCGACGCTGAGAACGACATCTAAAATACCGTTATCGTCAGTTAAACCCTGGAGTAAGAAACCGATAGTGAATATATCAACATCTGCTCATGCTACAAAAATTCCTGAAATAACTACTGAAATATCTTATAAGTTGTCGACGTTCCAAACTGTGCAAAGTAGCGATCACAATGATTCTAATTTGAGTTCGACGGAACATCCTCGAACAACGACGAGTCCTATAACAAAAGGTACCGTAGCTGATGCAGTAGTTACAGAAAAGCCAACCAGAAGACCTATCACTAGACCTACGACAACTCATAGGACGACAGTGACACACGTTCCGCGCCCAACCTCAACATCTACATCTCAAACTCATAGGCCGAGACCCAAACCGAGCAGACCTACCGGCAAACCAACCCCGAGCCGGAGGCCGATTTCCAAACCTACAAGTAGCCCAACACAAACTACTGGAAGGCCCACGACTGTCAAACGACCAAATGGCACTCGCAAACCGACGGTTCGTCCCGTACACGATAGCAAACCTAATGTAACTAGTACTACACACACGCAATCTACAAGCAAGCCCGTTGATACCACAAAACCATATTCCACTTCGAGTCATAGACCTACTTCGGGAAGCACACGACCATCTCAAAATCACACTAGACCGACCAGACCTCATAAACCAATAACTACAGTGGTATTATTAGATACCGCACCTAAAGAAAATACCACAAGTGCAAAACCGGCAACGACTGCAGTACCTACTAAAGGTCCAACTACAACGCCGGAACCATTTTTAACGACTTCATATGTAGAAACAACTACAGTAAAAGATATTGATGCTGCCCCAGTCACAGACGCAAGTAATCATTCTAAGAAGCCAGAAATTGTTACAACTACTACGAGTGTTTCATCATCTGGAACATCCACATCGTCGTTTTTCACAACGGAAAAGACTGAAAGCGAGAAAACAACAATAAATGCTACTACGTTGACGACACGACAACCAATATTGGAAGAAAATGATTCCGCTACTACTACACAGAAAATTGGCTTGGTCACGTGGACGAATGTGGAGGAAGATTCAGTTACATCGTCTCCTGTAAATGACACTAAAGGTGAATTATAATAGTTAATAGATTATGTAGAAGCAATCTGAGCGATTATAAAAAATTTGACATTCTGGAAATTATTCCAAAAATAATTTTTGATTAATTTTCATAGAGTAAATTATTAAAATTGCTAATATACATTTAAAGTTCTGATATTTTTGGCATATCATAGAAAAGTTGGCTTGAAATGAAACAGATTTTTATAATTATAATATTCATATATTTTATTGGTTACATCTCAATAAATGAAAAATTTAAATCTCCATATGAAGTTCATGTCTTGTAAGATTTTTTCCAACCATACCTTTTAGCTATTCGGGTGAAACCTCTGGATTTGTAGTTGAATGATTTAAAAATTAATATCGGTTTTTCACCAAATTTAGAGTTCCACAATAGTTTAATTAAAATTTTGCTCTCGTAAATTAAAAATAACTTTAAATTACTTTTGGACTTTAAATAACAGTCTAAAAAAATTATCGTTCAACGTATAATTAAAAGTCTGAGTAAACCTTTGGTTTTGTAGTTGTGTATAACCTAGGGAACCGAACCATCTATATTACACTTAAATTACACTAGTTTAATTCAAAATTTTTATTTATGATATGTATATATATTACAGGAGAATGGACTCCTATTACTACACCAGATGGTTGGGTCTTATTACCTTCGGTTACTCCAAGTACAACTTTGCCATCGTCTAGTATAAGTTCGACATCACCAGACACAACTACACTTGGAGTTAGTACTTTAAATTCACAAGGTAACCCGGAACTACTTTATATCATTAACTTTGACAAAAAAAAAACAAAGTCTTCCGCAAATCTTACACGCAATAAATCTTTTCTTCTTTCTTTGTACCGATGTAGTTAACATCTCGCGTTCATTCATCTAAGGAAATTGCCAAGGTGAAGGAGTTTCGGTTTTGTGGTTATGTGGATACACAATGTCCTTCATATTGCTACTCTGCTGAGAGCATTGTTAGATGTTTCCTTTATGCATAATGCACACATTTTGTATGTGTAATTTATTTTTATTGCCTGGCGGAAGGAGTTCTTTAGAATGTGCGATAATTGAAACAAAACTTTTGCAGATGTTTCTACTTCAGGAGAGCCATCAATGAATGAAATATCTACTTCTGAAAAACCATTCGTTCCGGTTGAAATAAGCACATCATCACCTACAACGGGAAATGATACGACTACCACGTCTACGACATCGGTCATCCCTGTATCACATGGAAATTATCCATCGGTTAATATGTCAGATTTCAGAAGCGGTAAGTGTCATAGTAAATCTTATTAAATCAGAGAATTGAAATGCACCTAGATATATAAAATAAGATGTACATTCTACATCGCAATTTTGTTCCCAACTGTGAACATTTATATAAGAAACTCTGCCTGCATATGACCAGGCGAAATTTCCGTTCAAGTACAACGCATCAACGCACGAGTAAAATTATGCATTCACATATACAGGTATATCGTTTTAGATATAATTGTTACGATATTAATTTCATGCTTTTGTCTGAGAAGGAATATTAAACGATTTGCTATGGACCATAATCACACGTGAGTAATAGCATCAAATTATACAATTACAAAGGCTAAAGCGTTAGGGTTCTTGATAAAGTTCAATGATTCCCGCGTCACGCATTCTTGTGCACCCCGGCACAGGTGCGAAATAGAAAGGTAGAAAGTAAATTAATAATATATTTTTTTATTAAATTATGATTTGTATTTACAATAATGAACATTAAGAAATTTTTAAGGTAACACTATATTTTACTACTATCTACATAAGCAGAATTTTAAAGGGTTACTCAGTAGTAAGCCTTTTTGCTGGTTATAAATTAAGTTTACTTATGCAGTTATATAAAGCAAATATAATAAATAATTAATTAGATATAAAAATTATGCAAATGAAAAATTATTCTTTTCGGCACTTTCTTTTTGCTTCAATAAATTTCTGATTAGGATGCTTTAGGCTGATCATATTTAATTTCTATAATAAAATCAATATGAAGTTTGAGGGCTTGGTAAAATATTAGGAGTGTCATTGTTTTCCTAAAAATTTTCATTTTCAAAACCAGTGGTTTCAACTTTTTTGTACCTGCCCAACCCCGTTTTTTAAAGAAGTTGTTGCGTTTTCTTAATTTTTTTTAATAATTAAATTTTATAAATACTCAACTGATATTATAATTTATTTACCGGGCTATAAAATTATAAATAATATTATATAAAAATATACTTGAAAAATTACTCTTTTTAACCTTCCCATAGGGTAAGTTATAGTAATCGCCAAAAAATCGAAAATAAATTTTTTTATATATCTTTACGTTTCAAAGCTTCCTGAACATTTTGGCATACCTTAGGAAAAAATTGATGTATGTGTGTATGTGTGTGTGTGTGTATGTGGGTGCGGATACAAATTTTCGTCGCCGATTTCGCGAACACGGATTTCAATAATTTAAAAAACATTTCACTTTTATTGACGAAATGAACAACTGCTCAAAATTTTGTAAAGGTTGTCCAGCGTTTCCGGGGATCCAATAAAAAAAGTAAAAAACAATGCCATTTGGCGGTCAAAAATGAACATTAGACATATGTACATCGTATTATCAGATATTTTGTAAATATTATAATAATAAGTACAAATTTTGTGTACATTTATATGGGTTCCGTACCAATGTTTACACGTTAAACGACTACGCGGCGCTTATGCGCTTCGATATTTCGACTCCAAGTCAGTTATGCAGCGCGATCGCTTAAAAAAATGTTCAAAATTTTCAAAAATAATCAAAAACAAAAAAAAATCGAAATATAAAAAAAAAATCAAAATATAAAAGAAAACAAATAAAAAAGTAAATTTTTTTCAAAATTTTTAAAATTTCTAACTTTTTCAAAGTTTTGCAAAGTTTTTTTAATACTTTAGTTTTTGGTACGGTAAGTTCCAGCAGCTTGCCTTAAGGCATGATGCCGTGCACCACTAGTATATTCATATTTTGACACCAATTCGACTTTTGGAAACAACTGCATGGTTCACTGGAGCCTCATTGGTTTGAAGTCACTGTTAAAATCATAAAAAACATTTTTGCAAATGAATTTTATTTGAAACATGTTAGCATGAGAGACTGATAAAGTAACACAGCAATGTTATCCGAGAATAGGTCCACAATTATCATCATTTCTATTACAATTATAATGGACTAATGAATATAAAGACATCATTTTTATATTTTTACTTTCTGGCCAAGGTTCTAAAAACGCTAAATTAACATCATTTGCATTACAACTACAAAGGACTAATGAATATCAAGTCAACATTTTTTACTTTTTGTATTACAGTTTTCACATAACTTATTACCTCTTGTTTGGCGTTCTTCTCACCTTTGTGCTGAAGTGGTAGTCTTAAGGGTCTATCCAATTCATATTGTTTTTAATAACCCATAAATGCGCCACAGCAAGTAGCAAACGATCAATGAAATTGTACATTGTGAACGTTGTCATAGTCGTTATTTATCTCATACAATACAAGTCGCAAAAAGGCATTAAACTTTATGACGGAAAACAATACGGGCCTGTAAGTAGGAAGCCGAGCACGTCCTAGCGTCGTACGAGGACTGTGAATCATTGTGCTTAGCGGTTTTGTCGTTATGGTGTTTGCGAGTAAACAAACTTACTTGTCTATGTTCTACACAATGACACTATTTTGCTGTTAATAATAGCACTTTTTGTTCAGTCTTTAAAGCGAATTCCGAGTCTTTAACTTGCACCTCTGGCTGACCTGTTAGTTTTGTTCTTGGAACGTGTGGTACGTTGCACGGCCGTGCTCGTACAGTTTAGAACAGTTTAATCTTCCGGAAGAACTAGGAACAATATGAACCAGCATTTAACGTTATAGGAACATAAAATTAAGGCCTGTTCACACGACGCTTGTTTTGTTGGTATATTGGTCGGCTGGCTAGCATGCTGGTTGTCAAGGAGGAAAAATGACGTCGTATCGATGGTATCGATATCCATTTGTTTCCAGCAAGCGATATTTGATATTAGAACTTGCACTATTTTTGTGGATAGCATGCTTGATTTCTGATTGTGATTTGGTTTAGCTTGCTTGATTTTTGAGTCTTATTTGTTTTGGCTTGCTAAGTTTTTGAGTGAGATTTGTTTTAGCTTGCTAGATTATCAAATATTAAAAATCACATGACCAAATACTGTCTACCTATCGCTGCCTACCTATTGGTTCAAACGAACAAATTCATTCAAAAAAATAGCGCACGTTCTACGACAAAATTAAGCATGTTATCCAGCCCAGAAAATAAGCGTCGTGTGAACAGGGCTTTATATTGCTTTTTCGAAAACTTTTAAAACGATAAAAAAACTGATACATAGGGTCTTTTTTATATTATTAACAGCAATAGCCAAATGATGGCAAGCCAACGATTGCTCTATTTCTTCTTCATCAATTTTTTATTGGAACAACTCCTTTACTGACACAATTTATGTGATACAGCAAATCCTTTAAGAGATTTTTTCACTTGAAAACATATTGCTACTTATATTTCAAGTGGGCCCAGCGGAGGCGAAATCGATTCAGACGTGGGCTAGCATCAACTAGTCTCGGGTTCGCTGGTTCGGTTCCCGCTGCCACCAAAATCTGACATCAGACAGCTTTGATGTCAAATTTTTACTTGAGGTTATAGGTTTCAATATAATTTCGAGTAAAAATCGTGGGCAAAGTTGCAATATTCAATCATATGATAACTATTAGACGTAAGAGTTAATATAGACCCCACACATAGGAGAGAGATGAACTGATAGGTTGCCTCTAATGAAAGATTAGGTTATAAGTCTTCAACAAATAGCTCATAAGACATGTAAGGTTATGTAGTTTTGATAGTTGTTAAAGCAATAAATAAAACTAATAAAAAAAATATTTCAAGTAAAAGATTACGTGTTAAAGTATTTTTGTTACACTTGAACAGAACCTCTGATTTCATAGCATCATTATTTTATATTGATATGATAGATTTTAGCATATTTAACAAATTTAAACCAGAAAACCACAACACATAATTTTTAAAGATAGTGAAAAAAAAAACAAATCAATAAAATAAAATAAAAAACGTAAAACAATAAAATTATGTAGTAGCTACATGACTCACGAATTGTGAATAAATTGATTCTATTCTGATCTATAAATTAGTTTTTGTAATAGGTTATAAAATACAATCAATTTTAACATCGTTTATAAAGGCAAATGGATCATTAAATATTTATTATCGTATTAAAATATATATCTAAAGTTCCACGAAGTATTTATGAAGTATGTCAAGAGCATGAAATTTAAAATGACACAGAAGACATTGACAGATGTAGATGGCAAGTAAATGTTTTCATATAAATTTTCATATAAAATAATAGAGTCTACCGTAGAGTAATGGTTAATGGGCTAGCACAAACTAGTCTTGGGTTGGAAATCTACCTCGGGCATCTCGATGTCAAGAAGTATTATATCAAATTTCTTTTTAAGGTTAGAGATCTCAAATGTAACCTCAAGTAAAAGTCACCCTTTGTCGGCATTGCTGCAACATGTACGCCAACACTATTAGATATACATAACTAATATTTTTGGTTGACCGCTGGGTTGCTTTCTTGAGAAAAATACTAGGTTAAGATGTATAATAGCAAACACAGCTCATAGAACATGCATTTCTGATCATTGCTAAAAAATATCTTCAAAATAATATATCACCTGTAAAATTTACAGTGGAAAAAACAACTACTGGTGGATTTTTATTTAATTATCATTATTTCTGTAAAAACTACAATGCGGAATTTACGTTCCATTATTACATGTTATATAAGTCTTTCTCAGACAATGATATTCTAATGCTTTTTATTAATGATAATTTTTTGTGCGGAAATCATCTTCGGACTATTGTTCTTAAATTTACACATTGCCATGATACCATCATGCTATTCTTTTATTAGCATAATATGGTAGTTTTGTCTATGAGATGGTTTGAGTATTCATGATACATAATTATTCAACGTAAATTAGATATGTACAGTAACGTTGACATGGCTAATTTGAGAAGGCAATTAATATTAATTGATATTTTAAATACAGAAATTATAATGAGAATTGATATTATGGACTTTTGTGATAGCTTCCATCAGTAATAGGTAAAGTGTACCTAATTAATGAAACATCTTTTGTGACTGTCAACACTAAGATCGTGAAATATTCATCTATCACAAGCAGTTTTAAAATTATATACAATTAGGCAAAACCCTGAACTTGGTAACTCTAAAAGAATCGATTATTGTGGACTAATACTCTAATAACTCTAAATATCATTTTTGGAATTCAGTTGTTTAGAGGTTTTAGTATGTTCCCATACATCAGTGAAATGTAAGAACGAAATTGTTGTAATATGAGCTCTTTATACATTAACTTATTCAAATCTTCATTTCTGCGCTTGATCAGCAAACCATTTCAAACAATTGCAAAAAAATAACTAATAATGCTCATCAGATACGTAAATCTTTTCAAGCAGATCAACGTTCTTACGCAATTCTTCCGGGTTTGTTTTAATCTTGACAACGGACCCCAACATGAGCATAAATAAATATAATATTGTTTTTAAATACATGTAATTAAATCTGTTTGCGGCAATTAAATAGTCAACCGTTCGCATCCACCTTGTATACAAGGCGAATTGCTGAAATAGACAGGTCGCTCGAGAGAAGGAAATTTTTAGATAAAATTAAAATAAGTAAACAAATAATTATATATATATATATATATATATATATATATATATATATATAGGGATCCCAGACTTCAACGTCAAGCTGAAACGGCGATATAGAATTGACCATAACTAACTGTCTTGAAAAAAAATTAGAAAAAAATATATTTTACGTTGTTTGGATATTATGAGCTTTCAAGTGCAACCCAGAGCTTTGGTGGTATTTTGACAATTTTTCGGTTATTGTGGGTAATTCTTATTAATTTTGTTTATTTAAACTTTGGAACCGTAACCGTGAATAACATTTCTAGGACCACAGTATAAAATAATAACATAATTGCTCCAAGTTTTCGAAAATTAAGACTTTTTGGCAAGTTTCCTCAAAAATTGGCGCATTCAATCAGGATTGTGAAGTAGTAAAATACATGATGATTTTATTATTGAAAATTTTTTAGTATAAAAATAACGCGTAATGGCTAATGCATTTTGCTCACATCCAGTTCAAATACTTTTCCCACGACATTGAAGCTTGTGAACAAACATTTGAACTGATTGTGAGAAAAATGCACTAGCCAAAATCATGTTGTTGTTAGGGTTTTATTTTTCACCACTAAAACAATTAAAAACCATCACAAAAAAAATTGACAACTTCTGAGTTGCTTTCTGATGACACATTAGAATAGTTTTGGTTACTGTTCATAAAAATTTAAGAAAAGCTTATAATATTGGTTTTGAAATACCATATCTGTTTGGGCGTATTTTCATTTTATTATATTGGCCATGAATGCGGCAATCTTCATGGCATTGCGCTTTTACACCAGGTGCTTGCTACCATGTAGAGGGTGGTTGCTGCCATGCAGGAGATTTATATCTGACTTAATTTTTTTACTTCTAAAAGTATAACATATGTAATAAATAATGAATATATCTTCTTTAAATTAGAACTCAGTGACAATTCAATAGTGTAATTAAGAACTTGCAACAGATACATAAATTATACCAACAAATTAGTGTTTAATAGAGTCTACAGCAACAAGGGTAAAATAATAACCGGGTTCTTACCTGATTTATCGAAGGAGAGATTTAATACGCAAATACAATATAAATGAATTTATTGCTTTTTTGAGAGTAAATTGAATTTTAATGGCATTGTTAGTTAGGATTACCTTGTAGATAGTGACTCTGCAGCAAATTAACTTCTGTTTTTCTAAAACCCATCCACCCAGAGAGCTTCCAACGCTAGGATTATCCGTTGCAACAATTTTTCCTCCAGCTTTCCGTCTAATCTCTTTGTTTCAAACGCAACACGTTTAGAATATGTTCTCGAGCACATGAGTATTTCATCCAACACCTTCTCATTCTAGCGACCAAAGCATTTTCATATTAATAATTGTCTTAGAATGCGATGAACGCAAAATCGACCCGCGGTTGTAGAACAGTAACAATCTAATAATAAGAATAACTTACAATTGAATGATGTAAAAGCGGTTTTACTAGTCGTTGCCTTTAGTTTTTATCCAGTACACGAGAAGAGCAGTTATATTTTCGATAACGTCATGTTTTGAGACGCGAGTGTAAAAAAAGTAATAAATTAATTTTGTATGGTAATTTATGGAAAATAATAGTGAAAAAACACCAAAATATATACGTCTGCATGCAATGGGAGAAGATTCACAACGCTATTGTTCTGTGCAAAATGGAACATTTTGTAAATCAATGTGAAGATTTAGATTGGATGTGATTAAATTAGAATTTTTCAAAAATATTGTGCTCGCGAGAATATTGTAGTTCAGTTTTCAGTGTTTTCATGCAATAAATTTTAATACTGATAGTTAATTTTATACAGTTACTGATGTGTCTTATTGGTAATGAATCACAAGATATCTGATGAGGTCTATGAACGGAAGCCGGTCTATACATCAGTCAGATGTGTCTAGGATAATAATCTTGTTTTCTTTATAACTTCCTGGACGTGGGTAAACATCAACATTCAATATTTTCACAAGTTTTCATCGTTGCTCATTGAATAATATGATTGTTGTTATAAATTTTAATTCGAAACGATAATGTGTTATTAAAACAACATTATAAAATATACAGTTGTAGGTATTGATTATCTATCATTAAGCGACCTTAATTAATTCACCCGTTAAGAACGGTGACATGCCATATATCACATGCAACAAGTTTAATGATACTGACATATGTATGCGGAACTTTCTTACTGGTTTATCTAATGATTAATAAATAGGTATTTGTAATGTTAATTAATGATGCAACTGTTTATGCAATCGATTCAGAAATAAATGTTTAAATAAAATATAATCAATTGCCCGCGGATCTTGTGATGGTATATTTTAATTATTACAATTATATGGTAATGGGAGATGATAAATTCTAATAATCTAATTTAATGTTGATTATCTAATAAAATAGCATTTTTATATGAGAAACTCGGGTTTATGCATAATTGAAGATACGTATCATATTTGCAATCCAAATTGCGGTAGTCGAAGGATCAGTTTTTTATTGGCTTTCGATTTCACATCATTTGGCCATAATCTTATTAAGATAAAAGTTATTGATCATTTATTTTATTTTTATAATTACCTATATATCAAGAAGTTTGAGAGTGAAAAAAATGATTCAAATTTATTTATTCAATAATACATAAAAGTGAATGTGATTATTTTTGATTTTATCTATCTAACGTAATTTATATATTTTAAAAGCTTTAAAAAATTTTGAGAACTTTGGTAAAAAAATAGATTTTTGAAAATTTTGATTTTTTTTAAATTGGACATTTTTAAAAAATTATATATTTTTTTTATATTTTGAAATTAGGTGGAAAATTTTAGAGACGAAATATCGTAGCGCCCTATATAAATATTGGTACGGAACCCATAAAACTGTAAACTGTAAAAATATGTACTCTTTAGTAAAAGCTCTATAAAATATCTGATAATTTGATGCGCATATGTCTAATGATCATTTTTGACAACCAAGTGGCATTTTATGAATTTTTTCATTGGATCTCCAAAACTCAGTATTTCAATTCGTCAATACACGTTTTGGCACTTGTTGCTCTGTATCTTTGAAACGGCCAGAACTACCTTGGCCAAAAATTACTTAGCACGTCTCCTCATCAATATGAATCGCATGCTTTTTGAATCATTCAAATCGGTTGAACCGTGATCTCGAAATCGTGGATGAAAAATTGTATCCGCACATACATACACACATACACATACATATATAAACTTTTTTTTTATTTCTTGCAATTGCTATAACTTACCCTACATAAAGTTAACAATTATTTGAAACATTCTTAATAATATGAATTAAATAAATTAAATAAATTATGAAAAAAAATCACAAAGACCATATTATAATGTAATTAAATAAATTAAATGAATTATGAAAAAAATATCACAAATACCATATTATAATGTAAATTTAAGGATTTGGGTACATCATTTTTTTCTAAGGAATGCCAAAATGATGAGAAGGTTTTAAAATGTAAAAATATATTAAATTACGATTTTTTCGAATACTATAACTTACCCTATATAGAGTTGATAATTATTTGAAATATTCTTGATAATATGAATTAAATAAATTAAATGAACTATAAAAAAAATCACAAAGACCATATTATAATGTAAATTTAAAGATTTGGGATCTAGATACGCACACACACACATACATCAATTTTTTTTTTGAGGTATGCCTAGATGTTCAGAAGGCATTGAAACGTAGAAATATATAAAAAAATATTTTTAGAATTTTTGCAATGGCTATAACTTACTCTACAGAAAGTTAATAATTATTTGAAACATTCTTGATAATATGAAATAAATAGGAAAAATATCACAAAGACCATATTACAATGTAAATTTAAGAATTTGGGTTATAGATTCTTTATTGATTCTGAATGCTGGTAATTTATATTTATTTTACCCAAACATGCCATGAGATACAGAATCAATTTCATATAAAAATGGGATATTTAGTTGATTGTGTGGATATTGGCTAGATATGCAATGATAAGTGATTGGATTTCTCTTTATATTTAGAATTATTCCGCGCAGTTTGTTGGTGACTTTACCACAAGTGGGTCAGAAAGCTTTTATCGAAAACCAGGTACGACAAAGCTCAGTGTGATTACATAAATCGGTTTTTAGTAATGCTACGAATTATCCGCTCGCCCGACGACATCCGTAGCTGTCGGCCGCGTTCTGGACGCGCTTTGCCCGCGTTGGGAGTGATATCTCCGCGATGAAAAAACGATCTTTACCCAGTGGTGCATGCGTTGTACTTGATGCGTTGTTGTTGATATCGGGTGCATTCTCAATTCTACGGCTAGTGGCGGTGGTTTGTTCGCATACAGTCGTTTTGTTTCACTGTATTCCGGTAATGGTCCTGTTGAATTCCACTCTAATGGTGTTGGCAGTGTGCGGTCGGCGGCTGTTTCCCGAAGCGCGCATAGTCGGCGGAGCGAAGGCGACCTTCGGCAAGTGGCCTTGGCAGATCTCGCTCAGACAGTGGAGGACGTCGACCTATCTGCACAAGTGTGGAGCGGCCCTTCTTAACGAAAACTGGGCCATTACTGCTGCTCACTGCGTTGACAAGTAAGTAGAAAATGACACATGAAACTATGAAAATACTTCTCACCCTTGATTTTATGATATTAATTTATTGATTTCCAATTTACCTGACATTTTTTCTGATTGACATTATTCTACAATTTGTACATTTATTTATTTTTACTTTTAATTATTCATTTGTGAGCAATCCATAATCAATAATATTTGTAAATATCAATAATATATACCTATATATCAGGTTAATATCAATGAACTATTTATTATACAATTAATGATGGATTGATATACAGTGGTTGGTATCTGAATCGTTTAACATGTTGAAGACCATATGCCCACCGGTGGGTCCCAACGCAAGAATATTACCAGATCGGCTTTCCACACGTGTTCACACGATAGGGTAGGGTGGGGCACAAAAGTCCAATTTGACTTTCAGTAATTATACTGTCTAAACTAAATGAACTACATGACAGCACGTAACATGTATCAATCAAACAACTATAGAACTATGTTCAGTAAAATTTCCTGTTAAGTCATAATTATAGAAATATGTTTACTAATTTTCTAAAATTTGTAATCTGTCTCTTGTTGCTCACGAGCGGGGTAAGAAGAGACAGTCAGGGAACAAATAGATTCAACGTCTTTTTAACTTTGTAGGGATTTTACAAGATAATAAATACATTATTCAACCAATGCGAAATACAAATTTTATGGGGACGTTTTTTACAAAGATCACACTGTATATAACCTGGTGTGGTACCTCGTCAAAAATCTTTCATTAGCGGTGTTGAAGTAACTATTAATTTAGTTTATCTAGTGCAAAATTTCTTAATTTAGTTATTTTAATTTACCTTTTTGTGTAATAATTCCTTATTGTTTATACCTGTACACCACCAGTATAAAGGTGTAAACTCTTTACTATATTCTATTTTAATTATTTTAAACCATCTTAACTCTCAATGATACCGTGAAAATTTTCAGATCACATTGTAAATTTTACGATAGATTTTTTTGTGAGATGACACTAAAAAATCCTATACGTCGTGAACTCAACTAATATTAATATTTAAGACCTTTGCTAGGCCTTTTAACCTGAAATACACAGAAGTTAAAACATTATAGGCCGCTGTGACTTGCATGTGACTTGAAAGTGATATTGACATTATGTCACTTGGAAGTCACATAAGCAATTAATACCAAAAAATTTGTTTAAACAGATTTTTTTGTTTTTCATTTGTATATATAGACTTATAATCACTGATTTTTTGTTTTCTTATTTATTTGGACGCAAAATCGAAATTCGGCACATAGAGAGTTAGAGCTAAAAATATATCTTATAAAACAATTAAATAACGTGTATTTAAAAAATATATTCAGGTATCATAAACTAAATAACAGAGCTTAAAACCAAAAAAAAAACTATTAACGAAAAAATACTTTGATTGTGAAAATTGATATATGCCCGTTTATCACCTAATTACACACTCTTTACACCTCTTTTACCATTTACTTCAAAAAATCTTATACTTTACTTTGTTTTGAGATAATGGTGTTGGACCTGTTTACCCCGGGGTCTCCAAGCTCCACTGCACCACATTCTATTTTAATTATTAATCCATATTAATTTATTAATTTCAATTTTAACTGGACATATTTTCTGATTATTCAACAGTGTAGTCATTCAAATATCATAACTAAAATCTATGAACTTTTTAATTTTAATTATTCAATTTCTGTGGCATCGATTAATTATACAATTAAAGTGGTAGCCATCTGAGTTATTCAAATAATTGCTGGTTGCATTATGCTTAATTACTAAACAAAATATTTGTTACAAATTGTTAGTAGTATAATGGCAGTGTAGCTAGAATCCTGAAAATTCAAATGGGCATTAATTAACATAATCAAGATTCCGTCCATCGATTAGTGGTTTGAAGAGAAGAAGAGTTCTCATATGTTGAGTCACTGCACTGAATTCATTGTAGCGTACATCCACCCAGCGCCGTTTATCCACCTACCCAGGTTCAACAGTCGAACACCGGTTTACTTGTCTTCTTGATCATAAGTAATGAAAAACACGAACTATATCATAATACCCCGAGCTGTGGAAGTACAACAACCATACCGATGATGGGTCGGCGGAAACAGCAATTCTTCTTTACAGAGCCGCATTTTATACGATCTCATTTTTGTTAAAAAAATTAGTAGATAGTTTTATATTTGACAAATAGTTTGTTCAGGGCAGAGGCTTAAATGTTCTTTGGCAGAAAGGTTCATCACTTCAAAACAAGTGAAGTAGATTTTTTGAAACAACACTATTTGAAAGTGGAGGGCAAAAGAAGTGTCACGAGCCATCACCCTAAGTCGGTCGACTTCGCTACTATTTGTCAATTTTGTAATACTATTGTCAATTTTGTAACGAAAGTATTTGTTTTGATTGTTAGTCATTTTTGAGCACGATTGTTTAGTTGACGAAATCTGAATATAATTTTCAGGTATACGATTTTAATTGTTTTATAAAGCGTATTGTTATATTTAAGTTACATTCAACAGTTTTTTTATATCCTCTAGAATAGATCACGTATAATTGGGTTAAAATGGACTTTTGTGTTTTGTCCTACCTTACTTATAAATGAAATTTTTTATTTAGTCTTTGCTATAGATCAAGCCCTTCTGATTATTTTGGGTTTATTACAAAAAATAAATCTATGTGTAAGTGTGTGTTAATCAACAACTTTTAATACATTCTGATCTTTCTGATGAAGGCAAGTGAATGATTTCGGAGAAAAGGCAATAAGCAGCCAAAAATGGTCAAATCAATTCAATCAATGGATTCATGTATCTTAAGTATTTTTTATTTTTTTTTCAAAATTTTAATAATTTTTTTATGAAAATCACATAGGGTAGAGCGGTACTTAAAGGTTCACTATCATTATCTAAAAAACAAGCAATGTATAATTTTGTTATTGATACTGTTTCAAAGAATAAAGCAAAATATGTGAATATAACAATCACCTTAATTTTTTCGATATCGCTCTCAGGATAAACGGAAATGTATCAATATTCATACCAAAAGTTTTTTTTTCGGTTTGGATCTTTTGTATTTAGTTTATGATACCTGAATATAATTTATAGGTATACATTTTAATAATATTTTAGGTATAAAATTAAAAAAGACGTTGAATCCGTTTGCCTCCTAGCTGTTCTTTTCTACCCCTCCAATGGGGCAAAAAGAGACAGATAACAAATTTTAGAAGAAATTTTTAGTTAACTAGAAATTTTACAGAACATAGTTCGACAGTTGTTTGTTTGATATATGTTATGAGCTGTCATGTAGTTAATTTTGTTTAGACACTATAAAAGTCAAATTATACCCTTGTGCCCCGCAATATCCTAATATGCTTAAATATTTTATCTCGAGTGCAATGATCGAAATTTCCGTTATAAATTTAAAAAAACTGAGTAAGTAAGGGTAAGGTTTGTGATTTTTATGCAGTATACAGCTTTATTTGTTATTTTTTATGCAATCTAGAGTTCCGTTCCAATAATTAGTCTATAAAATTATAACCAAAACCAATTTAATTATTTTCGGGTTTTAATCATATTTTTTTGTTTTTATTTATTTTTATTTAAAATTTTTAAAAAAAATATAATAATTTTCAATTAAATCAAATTTGTCAGAAATTGTCACTATTTAAACAAAAAATGAAATGGCAAGTTCCAGCAATTTGCTTTAGCAAAAGCACAAAACATTTACACTACCAGTTTTTACTAAAACTTGAAACCTATAGGTAAATCCAGATTGAAAAGAAACTTCGAATATCAATTTGATCAACTAATTTTCTTATGCAGTATCAATTTCAATTATTTTTTCCTCTTGGCGATTATTTACGTGCAAAACCAATTCAGCAACTTTAGATTAGACAGATCATATATTGTTTGTCGATGCAAAGCGCAAACAAGCCACAATAAATCAGCAAATCGTTTTTTCTCTTATTGATTTCGTTCATTTGAACGCACGTAAAACTTTTCCCAGCATTCTACAGCGCTGACACACGTTTAATTCTGTATAACAGTAAACATATAAAAACATATTTTTATTAACACATTTACCGACTGTTCGGAATTATGCAAATGGTCCATCATCAAATTCCACGATGTATGTTTTTTCATTTAACAAAATTGACTTTTGGTATGAGATTCAGTATTCTGTCGAGACGGTGCGGATGATCATGATAATGCAATATACCGTTGCGGTATGAAACGAATGCGGTCGGATGTTATTGATTGTTACCGCAATTTTATTATCGTCATCTTGGCTCTTTTTGTTTCGATGCCATCTCAACAATTGCAGATTTATGAGGCGACATAAATTGAATTTCAATCATTGGAAATGGCGCAATAAAGAAGATACGTTATCTGTTGAAATCCCATTAAGAGATTTGCATGTATTCATCTCCTATCACTGCCGCAAATTGGATAATCGATTCAATTTGTTAGAAGTTTAGTTTTTTATGATTGTTATTTGTCTATTGTAATTAATTCAATAGTGGTGCATAGCATCCTTATTATGCCTTTAGGCAAATTGCTGGAACTTTCCGTATCCGTTTTTTCTAATTCTTGAGAAAATTAGTTTTTGGAGAATTTTGAAATTTTTAAGAAAATTTGAGAAAAAACGATTTTTTGAAATTTCTTGGTAAGTTTGAATCAATCGCGTTGCTTAGCTGTTTAGAGCCAAAATATTGAAGCGCTTAAGCGCCGCGTCGTAGTCTAACATGTAAACATTGATACGGAACCCATAGAACCCAAAATTGGTACTTGTAGTTATAATCTCTATAAATATCTGATAATATACTGTGCATATGTCTAATAATCATTTTTGGCTGCCAAATAGCATTATTTTTTACTTTTTTTTTTGATATCCGGAAACACTAGACCTGCCTTTCCAAAAATTTCACCAGTTGTTCATGTTGTCAATACAAGTAAAATGTTCTTTGAATCATTCAGATTGGACGCTCCGTTCTCTCACAAACTTAAATATCATTTTTGGCTCTTTTTGCCCCGTATCTTTAAAACGGCAAGACCTGTCTTTGCCAAATACTAATTAGCACATCAATCAATCTATCAATAGGAATCGAATGTTTTTTGAATCATTCAAACCGGTTGATTCGTGTTCTCGAAATCGTCGACGAAAAATTGTATCCGCATATACATACACACACATACAAGCACACACACTTACACACACTTACATACACACATACATCCATTTTTTATAGGTATAAAAAAAGTTCAGAATCCTTCAAAACGTGAAGATATGCAAACATTTTCAATTTGGATTTTTGAACGATTACAATTACTACCCTACGGGAAGTTCAAAATAGTTTTGTTGTTGTTTCTAATTTTACTTAAGCAAAATCTTATCTTTTTTCGATTGGGTACAAAGGTCCAATTTGACATTAAATGATTATACTGTCTCTAAACCAAATGAACTATATCGCAACATATACCATGTATCAAACAAACAACTATCGAACTATGTTCAGTAAAATTCCCAATTAATTCCTAATTATAAAAATGTGTTTTTTTACTATTTTTCTAAAATTTGTCATCTGTCTCTTTTTATCCACTAGGCAGAGATAATATTCGATAGTCATGGGGCAAATAGATCCAATATCTTATTTTTCATTTTAAGGAAATTTTACGAAATAATAGCTACATTATTCCATCAATGCAAAATATAAATTTTATGGCGACATTTTTTACAAAGATAATACCGTATATTACCTTGATATGGTATTTTGTCAGAAATATTTATTAGCGAAATTGGAATAAAAATTAATTGGATTTATCTCTCGTAAAATTTTTTATAATTTTGTGGGGAAAAGATCATTATGAAATAGTAATAATTTATCTATACTTATGATTAGCCAATATGTACACACAGTGCTATCTATTTTATTCCCATGCACAATTTTTATCAAATGCGGATTATATTTCTGATCCAAGAGAGGATATCGTTATCCTTCGGTTACTCCAGCGATTAAATAATTTAAATCACATCTTCCTATGATAAATTCTATATATTCAATCCATCATGACATAAGGAGTTGAACATTCCTTGTATCATACATCTACAATAATTACAAGTACGTGAAATATTACAAGGCTTCTTCATTAGCGATGTTCGATGAATTAGGTCTCTACTCGCTCACGTCATACTGTTATTATAAAAAATATAGTAATTTTGTGTCCATGATATACTTATTCATTTTTTTAATTTAGTGTGCCACCGAGTGACCTCTTATTGCGACTGGGAGAACATGATCTGTCTATAGAAGATGAACCTTATGGGTACCAGGAGAGGAGGGTTCAAATAGTTGCTTCGCATCCACAATTCGACCCGAGGACGTTCGAGTACGATTTGGCATTGCTGAGGTATGAAATAAGAAATTATGATTGAGTCAACCCGCTTATAGCGCGGTACTCTGATACATGGACATTGTTTTAGCTTGTATAACGCGGTTTCCATGTAACAGCTCTCAAATTTGGAACAAGAAATATGATTTACACTCGACCCTCTTATAACGCGGTACTCTGATACATGGACTTTGTTTTACCTCCAATAACGCGGTTTTTGTTTAACAGCTCTCAAATTTCCTCTTTGCAATCTATGAATGATGTTACTAAAATGCTGTTGTAAGAGTTTTTTATATAAGTTTTTATAATATTTTCATATCAACATCCTAGTTTATACTATAGCTGTGTACGACATCGGTTTTCGTAGTGCCTGAGCTCTTTCACAGCATGTTAGTCTTTATAAAAAAAGTCTGATTTGTAAAAAACATGTTACAAAACAATTGTTTAGCTCAGTTTGTATTGGGCTCGCCCGTAGGTAAGCGGTTAAGAGCGACGGGACTTGTTTCAGGGGTTCCGGGTTCGATACCCACTTCGAGCAGCCTGTTGTCAGCCAGCAGTGACAACGATTTTCACTTGAAAATATAGAATGCAATATGTTTCCAAGTGAAAATAGCATTTGCCCGGCATTGCTGCACCAATAAATAGTCAGCACTATTAGATTAATGCTAATAACAAAAATCATCAAATATGGATGGAATGACCATTGGGTTCCCATCTAAAGCTACGAAGTAAGAAGAAGTTTCAGCTCAACAGCTCATAGGACGTAAGGTTCTGATTGCTGTTAAAAATATATATAAAAAAAGATCAGTTTGTATTTCATGTTTTACAGTATTTAGTACCATTTTGTATGAAAACTGCCACGTGACATGGCCTTGCGGACACGTATTAATTCAATAAAAACGATTTATATTTTTTTATCGTATCTTTATATGAAATTTACAATAAAATTAAAATTATTTTTGAATTTTCCTATCTTATGTCTATGTAAGGCGCGGAACAATTGACGAGAGTTGTACTTAGACTGAATTTCTTATAGCGCGGTTTTTAATGTATGGTATTGATTTTTATTGATAATTGATATTTATATTTATTGTTTTTAGCTTCAAGTTTTATTTTTATCTAATTAACCCATTTTAATGTTTAGATTCTACGAGCCCGTGAATTTCCAACCTAATATTCTTCCTGTTTGTGTGCCACATACCGATGAAGGATTTGTTGGAAAAACAGCATATGTGACTGGCTGGGGCAGATTATATGAAGGTATGAAATTTTTATATTTGCTAATAAATATATTAATATTATATATAATTATATTAAATGGAAACTATAAATGAGGCACTGCACTGTGCAATAATTAATAATTATAGGAATTTTTGTAGTGCATGGAAATTTTCGAAATTCAATCTTCTTGTTTCCCAGCGATTTTTATTCTCATGTGTCTAAAACCACATGTGGGAATTCTTTCATACCACATAAAATGCTATACCATAATTTCCAGATAATACCACTTGTAATATCGATTGTCTTAATCGTACAGCAAAACACTTGACGCCTGACTGTACAGCAACCACATAATTTGTTTACAGTTTTTAGTGCCATTTTATATAAAGAACGCAGCGTAACATAGTCTTACCATAACATCGGTCTATTGGCTCATTAGTCTTTCTCAGCATTCTGCGTTTTCTCTGCATTAGTTTGCATTTTTTAAATATTCATTATATTGGAGAGAAAATAATTACAGAATAATAAATAATTAACAATCTTTCAAAATAATTTAGTTGTTAAAAATATATTATTGTCAAAACCATTGAAATAACAGTGAATAATAGTTGTATTTGAATAATGCTTGTCAGTAAAAAAAATATCATCCACATATCTTCCATTAAAATTAATTTGTAAATTTATCGACGAAAAAACTGTGACTGAAGACCAAATAGTCAAACGAACTTTGTATTTGCAGAGTAAATCATTTTCAAACAAAATAATGAAACAAATTTAAAAATTTATTATAACTATGACTACTCCAGTTGGAGATAAGAAAAGCTACTTTATTTTGCCTATCTTCGTATATGGATATGAATATGAATTGATTGCAATATTTCTATTAATTTTAGATGGTCCATTACCAAGTATATTGCAAGAAGTTTCGGTACCTGTGATCAACAATTCAGTGTGTGAGACAATGTACCGATCTGCCGGTTATATAGAACATATTCCAAATATCTTCATCTGCGCAGGATGGAGAAAAGGCGGTTATGATTCCTGTGAAGGTAATAAAAATATTATGCAATGAATTATCGATTCAAAGATTTTCCTGTTTATACAGGAAATCATTTCTAAAATGAAACCAAAAAATCTCAATCTTAGAACTTGAACTGCCCTAAGAGGCATTCAGTAATTTTGGTGACCAGTGTACAGCAGTAAGATGTTAAATTGCTACCCAGCAGTAGACATTTTAAATTTGAAATTAATGAATACTTGTACAATAATTACAATTATTATTGTTTTAACCATTTTTTTAATTTGATTACAATATTTTAACCTAAATTACTTATAAACTAGCCAAGGCTAAAGGACTTGTTTTTTTAAGTTGTCTAGTAATTTTTGCGGATAGCAAGTCTTTAGCAATTTGGATTTCTTAGAATCTATTGAAAATTATTGTTTTGCTTATTTTATAAATCATATAAATAGACAAATACATATCAGCTGTGCATACATTGTAAAAAAATAATTGTCAATTATTAGACTCACCAAGAATAACTTGCTATTGCCAAAGAGCCACAAAATAATGATTTATTTTTTTTTAATTTTTTGGCGTAAGTAATATTAGATATTCTAAAACTTTGACAAAATCGGATTAATCAAACCTAATGATGATTTTTATTGATGCAGATAACATTGTATTGGTAATGTAGTTTTTGTGTATAATGACGAGGTTTTTGCTCATTAATTTTATTACAAATTGTTTGTTCTATATATAAGTTGAAAAAAAGGTAAATTTAAAATGGCATTTATTTTATCCAGTAATACTTCTAGTAACATGATAAATTAAATTTTCCGGTAGTTTTATATTGACTACCACTGTTCATTTCAAACTTTATATTTTATGTTCCTGAAGAAACATGTTTTTAGGGATTTTTTCCTACGCCTATTCAATTATGGAACATCAGCAAATTTTTTGTAGTATTTAGAATGCCTATATATTCTATATAGGCAAACCCAGTGATTGGACGTTCGGGTATGGTATTTAAGTAATTTATTTCGATTTATTAATTTTCTTTAAATTTCTTTTAATAATTACAATCTGTCTTTATACAAGAAAAAAGACATCCAGTTATTTTAGGGATATATGGATATTTAACATTTATTCTAAAAGGTTACTCTGTAGTAAGCCTTATTAAAAAAATTACTATTCAAACTGTGCATTGAAATATTATTTATTATATTTAACACTTTCCACTCGGATGCCGCCGCTCTGGCGGTAAAATTCATAAAAATCTCGGAATTAGCGAGTGGAAAGGGTTATTTATTTTTATTTTACTGGCCTCAGATAAATATTTACCTATCAACATATTATACAGATAGACTTTACTTTTATACTTACTTTTACCTAACATGTTTATATAGGAATAACAATTTGCATTTTGCAATATTGATACCAAATTAAACGGTTTAATAAGCGACTTGTGGCGGACGTAGCTCAGAGGTAGCATGTCCGACTCACATGCCGGAGATCGATGGTTCGACTCCTGGCGCTTCCAAATAATTGTTAATTTGTAGAATACGAGAAAAAATAGAAGTAAAATAGGAAAAAAGAAGTTTAGAAGATGAGAAGAACATATTGAGAAACAAGAAGAAGAATGAAAATTGGATGGAAGATTAGGATATAAGAAGAGATAGTATATATATATGATGAATGTATAAGAAATATATATGTAAGAATTGTATAGAATATGATGAAGAATAAAATGAATAATGTATGTGGCTAAAAATGCTGTAAAGCGGAGGCCAATAAAATTTAAAAAAAAAAAAAAAAAAAAATAAGCGACTCATGGAGTAAAATTTTCCATTCATTCCGACCAGATATATTTATATGTATTTCAATCACAAAAAAATGTTTCTTTCCAGGTGACAGTGGTGGTCCAATGGTGATCCAACGTCCAGACAGACGATTCCTGCTGGCGGGCATCATTTCTTGGGGCATCGGATGTGCAGAGCCAAACCAACCAGGAGTCTACACCAGGATATCTGAATTCCGTGACTGGATCAATCAGATATTACAGTTCTAGTTAATGTTGTTAAGTTGGAAAATAAGAGAAAAAAACAATTGAAACTGTACTAAGTTGTTGTATTATTATAATTGATAATATTAAGATATTTATACTATTTATAAAAATCCGTCCTTGATTCGTTGGTCAATATTGAGAATGTATTTATATTTAGATGTATTCTGTAATGGAAAATTTGATATAATTCTGTGCGTGTATGTTAATTGTTAATTTATAGATTGTATGAAAATGTTAGTTTTTATATATATTTTAAAAATTTTAGTATGTCGTATTGAATTTCATATGGTGACTTAAAAGCAAAGAGTACAACTGAAACGTTTTGGATACAAAATAATATCAAAACGTTTTACGTAACATTGCATTTTTAAGTCTGCATGTGATAAGGCATTGTATTATATTGTAAATCAGATAAAAATGCAAAAATTGCATTGGTGAAAGGTGGGGGTATCAGTACAATAATTTTATTTCGATGGCATTTGTGTTCAGTATTCCGACGAAATCTTCCATGGACGGTGTTTATATTTACTTTTAATAAATCGATAGGGGCCATCAACAATAAACGTGCACAGGTATAATAAAATATTTTAAGAATATATATTTAGTCATAATGATTTCTTAATATTTATTAAATTTAGTGCGCTATTTATATAAAAATCAGTAAAGTCACTTTTTTTGTAGAGGATTCAATCCACTTATTAAAAACGTTGAACAGATTTATTACGCTGTTAAGTCTGATGTTTTTTATGCAAAACGTTATAAAAGTGATATTACTTAGCTATAAATGAATATATAGCTGCTATTTTTGAAATAACAAAAGAGTGATTTTAAATATTAAAGTAATTAAATATATTTTGATATCATTAAATGTATCCCGAAATATATTTACACTAAACGGTTATATTTTATATATATATATTTATATTTATTGAATTTAAACTAAAGAATTATGTTATTATAGTTGAAATAGATAAAATTAGATATATTTAAATATGAATTATAATTTTGAATGTACATACTATTTGTTTGGTGAATGTAGATTATATGAATATTAAAATGTTTGATACAGAAAAAAAATTAAACAATTTATTTTTTTTCCTGAGGAATATCGAACTGATATAAAATTCAATCTTAATATGTTCTCTAAACAACTGTGTTTGTATTCTATTATTTAAACAAAAATCAGAACTAAGTAGGTATTCCACGATCTTTGATGATGACACTTTTTCTCATTTTCTTGCTATTTGTAGGCAACTCAATGGTTGTCCGCTCTAGTTTGAATTTATTATACAACTTGAAATAATTATCTTTTATATTTATTTTTTATGCAGAAATGCCTGAAAGGGCTATGTTAGTTAGGATTTAATTTTTATACTGATTGTTTATGGATATTCGGTATCAGTTGATAAGTAATTTTGTTAATAGTAATTTGTTATTTTTAGACTAATCAGAACTCAATAGTTCTATAAATTGTAGTTTTTTCATTTTTTTATTATTTATAATTGTTTTTATAAAAAAAACAAAGACTTTCAGGAATTTTGAGGATACCATGAATATTTAACATCTATTCTAAAAGGAAACTTATGTCAGTAGTAAGCCTTGTTAACTATGATAAATAAATAATATGAAGTGCTGGCATATGAATTAGTAATATTTTTCAATTTTTTTAATCAATAACTTGTACAAAAGCAAATTTTTGGTAATAACGCAGTAGTAATCTTAACATGGCTTTTTTTTTAAAAAAAAAACTAACAATTGGCTTATTTACAATTAATATATGATATTATAACTTTTCTAATACTGACTTATGTATTAATATGATGTAGGTATGACATGGAAGGGCTATTTTTACTCGCAAATATATTTAAACCTATATGTTCGAACAAAAACGGATAGCACTGCAGCTTGATATCGAATTGGCTGAAATGGGTATTGATCCTGAAACCTGTATATAAAGCCAAAGCATTTACTACTGTGCCATGGAGAAGATCCTTGAAAAGGTAATGGATAATCAGTTTATAAAATTATTGTAGGCATTTGAATGGAAAAAATTGCGAGACACACATGTGGTCCAAAGCAGAAATGTTGAATACTTGAAGCTTATTTAAAATAAAATCTAATGGAACGAATCGTCCAATGTTATGGAACGGCTATGTTACCTCCCAGTTTTCATACAGATTGATACTAAATACTGTCAAAATACCATGTATTTGCTGTGCGATCAGGCGTTTTGCACATAAAATGCAACTTCACTCATATGTTATCAAGCCTTGCCTCAAAGATGCTGTTATGATAACATCGTTTTTTTGATATTTGTGCGTTTCTGGGTTAGGGTTTCTATTTTAAACGCCTGACTGCACAGAACCACATAGGTTGTACCACTTTATAGGAAAACTGCTATATATACCATAGCTATATATACCATTGGTCTATTTTACGATAGAATCGGCCCCTAATTACTATTGTTTGAAACATTTATCCAATGTATAGATATTTATATTTATTTATTTGACATCTATTTATCTATGAAAATTGAAGTTTTCGTTATTATTTATCTATTTGAAAGTTATATAAGTTATATCAGAACATATGTGATTTGTGTTAGATTTAAAGCTGGCAGAATGCTGTCTATGATCTAGGCGGGTATATAAAGTTTTTGGTTCTAGTGAAACATAAAATGAAATTAGATGGCATTAGTATAAATACATATAATAAAATATTTAACAGAAGTTCTAAAAATATTGGTATTGGAAATACTTTTTATATTAAATTGTAAGTTTAGCATAGGTTTTGATATTATCATGATTTGTCTAGTATAACAATCAAATAGAAATAATGTCAGAAAATTACTATTTATCTGAATATCGTTTATAAATTAATAAAATTATTACCCGCATGATACGCCACTTCACACAAGTTCCTGCACTTTGAAACATTTAGTCCTTACCTCTCATGACATGCTTTCTCGCTTAAGACGCTTTTATCTTTAGCAAATTGTTTCAACAGGCTTTTATAAGACATATATATATATATATATATATATATATACATATACAATTTAACTATGAATATGTATGGGTAATTTTTTTGTGTATTTATGAACTGGTCATTTCATACTAGCAAAAAGTTGCCGGTCTAAAAATCATGTTTTGTTAATAACTATGGAACTTACAAAGTACAAGTAACAAAAATATAATTTCATTGTTCTTTGTTTTCTCAGCGTGCTATATAATTCATTATTAAATGGAAACCGGATTAAATTAAAATATATCGAAAAAAATTAAGTGCTTAATTCAAACAGAAAAGCAGGTTAAAATTCATTTATATAAATATATACAAGTACATATATAGGATTTAACCAATTAAAACTAGTGTGGCGCATGGCATTGTGCCTTAAGGCAAATTGCTGGAACTTCGCGTACCAAAAATTTTTTTTTTTTAAAAATTTACATTTTTGAAAAAAAATTACTCTAAAAAAATTAGATTTTTGAGAAACTATAAATTTTTGACAAAAATTTACTTTTTTTGAAAAAAAGACTTTCTGAAGAAAAATTTATTTTGAAATATTTTGGAAATTCTGAACTTTTTTTCAAAGCAGTCGTACTGCTTTAACTGCATATAGACGAAATATCAAAGCGCGTAAGCGTCGCGTCGCCGTCCAACGGATAAACATTGGTACGGGACCCATAGGAATGTAAACAAAATTTATACTTATTGTTAAAATCTCTATAAAGTATCTAATAATTTGATGTGCATATGTTTAATGATCATTTTTGACCGCCAAATGGCATTTTTTTACTATTTTACTAGATCTCCGAAACCGCTAGACCTGCCTTCATGAAAATTTGATCACACACATTATTTTTTCCCAAGATATGCCAAAATGTTCAGAAACCTCCAAAACGTGATGATATGCAAAAAATTTCAATTTCGATTTTTGGACGATTACAATAACTAACCCTACGGGAAGTTAATAAAGGCGGAATTATTAATCTCTTCATTACTTTCTATTTAAATATTATTTGTAGTCAATTTCATACGTGAGTGTATATGCATATCTCTTTTTGTTTTTTACTGCGGAGGCCATATAAGCTGATCTCAGTCAGAATAGGCTAATAATTGAGGATTGATGTCGTAAAACAATCTAGTAAGATTAAATATACGGACTGCAGTTCTTGTTATCGTGTCCAACAGCAATTAAAATATTACAACAGCGCAACATTCAGAACATTTACATATAACACTAGAGTCACTTTCTCCTCCATATATACTCACTATGCATGAAATGCCTTTTCGTGATGCTACGAGTTGATTTCAGGTTTTTCTTCTTCATCACAAAATAGCTATTCAAATTGATAAAATATTTTCGTGGGAACATTCATAACAAGTTCATTTATGCAAAACGTTAAGATTTAATTACGGATTCTGTTCAGTTCTGGATTCATGAGTGATATAGTTTTATGCACACTGGCACATTCTAAATTCATATTATTTATTAAATTTTTAATAAAAATCAGAATTTCACGAGTTTTATGAACTTTTATGCTGACTTCTTAACACCATATAAATGGCAACATGAACAATTTATGTGATACTGTAGAATTTTTTATTGATGCAGCAATGCCCTTGAGCCCATATTGCTATCTACATTTTCAAATGAAAGCGTATGTTACTACTCTTTGACACCAGGCTGCCCAGGCTAGTATCGAACCTGGAACCTCCAATACAAATACTCTAGCTCTAATTAGTAGGCCTTCGGATGAGCCTTACGTCTTTTTAGGGGGTGTCCATTAATCACGGACTCCTCTTTCCCATTTGTGATATTCAAAAATTTATTTTTGATTTTATTTTGAAATTTTTTTATTAACTTTATTTTTTGTTTTTTGTTTTCCCTCTGTATGCCTATCCATCTGCTCATATATCAGATTTAATATTATTTAATTTGATCATATTATTTAATAATTTAATAATTCAAGAATTTATTAATAAAATGTAAGGAGAGG